TAATCAGTATCTATATTCAGGGTCTACTGAGAGTGGTAACATCAGTTTTGGAACAGCTTAATTATACATACGTATTATGTATATATATGTAGATAAATATATATGCTACATTCCCTATGACTGTAATAATATTAATATTCTGTTGGGAAAGAAAGAAAGAAATAGGCAAAAATAACAGTGACAAAATATACGAAAGATACAAGTAGGAGTGACAGAACATGGAGAACTGATTTGCATAGAATGGACAATGACATCCTCTTTGGGAACTTGTTTTGTAAGCTAAGATTTTAAGAATGAAGTAAAGCTATCTATATATACAAAAGGCGATGTTGATGAATTTCCATTGTGTTACTTAAATTTAGTTACTTAAAAAAACATTCTATTTACTCATAGAATTTTGGGTTAGCATTAAGACCAGGCTCAGCTGTAATGATTTGTATCTTCTCCATATATCTTATCTTGTCTCAGTTGTTCATTTACAGCTGATACCCACTAGCTTCATTCACTTGTTTGATGATTGGCTTGTTGTCAGCATCACAATGATGATAAGTGGACTGTGTGTTACTTACTCAGCATGGCAGCCTACCCTTGTTCATATTGTTCACTCAGGGTTTTTGATAACCACAGGGCAAGGCCATGCCCAGTGTGTGAACATTTTTAACTCTCTACTTTTGTCTTGCTAAAAGATCATTGATCAAAGCAAGACACATGACAGAGCCTAAATTCTGAAGGTAGCAAATAATCTCCTCGTCATGATGAATGAATTAATGTGCACATATTAAAATAAAAGTTGTATCCATTTTGTATTTACTTCATGGAGTAAGGCATTTCTTTTGTTTTTTGATGTGAATTACACCAAGTAAAAACTTTTTAGGAAAAGAAAAGTGTCATATCTCGAGAAAATGAAAGGAAGCGGTGTATTTGTTGAGATGAAAGACGACCAATAAATAGTGAGTAGCTCAATACGGGAGATGAAGTAAGTCAGACCTACATCATGATGTAGATCATGGTAAGGAATCTGACCTTATTTAAGTATAAAAAAGAATCCAATAAACAGATGCAAAGAAGCCCTGTTCTAATCAGAAAATGCTGCTGAGAGAATGAGGAAGATACATTAGGAAATTAGCCTGGATTTGGTCTGCCAGAGGTTGTTAGTGACATATATAAGAGCAGTGTAGGCAGAGTAGCAAGAAAAAAAATCAAGTTAGAGTGGGCTGAAGAAGGGACAGGAAGCAAAGAAGCAAAATTTTTGCTGTGAAAGGGCATGGAAAAACATAGGCTGAACTGAATTTTTTTATGTCTGCATATTTTGGTGTGAAAGATACTAGAATATACATGTTATCCTAATAGGAATAGTATAGTTGAGAAAAGAAGTAAATTAGTAATATTAGGAAAAATGTATTGAATAGAAGTAAACTTTTACCAAGGTATCTTTATAAGTTTTTTTAATAAATAGGGAAATAAACTAAACTTATGTATTTTCAAACTTTGTATTATATAGATTACTCTTCCTAAATTTAGCTGTAGGCTCAATATAAATCCAATGAAAATTTCAATTTTAAAAATAAAAGTGACAAGTAACACTAAATTTTATGTAGTCCTCGGGTATAGTGGCACATGTCTGTAATCCCAGCAATTGGAGGCTGAGGCAGGAGGATCAACATGAGTTCAAGGCCAGCTTGGGCTATATAGTAAGTTCAGGGCCAGCCTGAACTACAAAGGGAGATCCTGCCTGAAAACCACTAAATTTTATGTAGTCATGGGAAAGGGCAGGAATAGCCAAGAACACTTGAAAGTCAGAGTAAAATGAAAGGACTTCCTCTACTCAGGCTCACTACAAAGCTCAAGAGATTATGATTATGGCATATGAAAGACAATGAACTAATACAGTGGGATAAAATCCCCAAAGTAGATTCATGCATATGTGACTTCATAATGACAATGTGGCAATTGAGAGCAGTGCAGGAAAAGGAAGCCTTACTGTATATAGACTTGGCCAATCAGTAACTACTCAAAAAAAATTGGGACTGAAAGTTATAGTTAAGTACTAAAGCACTTGCCTAGCATGCATGCAGCCCTGAGTTTAATTTCCAACACCACAAAAAAAGGAAAACATGAAATTTATAAGATACACTGTGCATTAAAATTAATTTCTAGTATATTGTAGGATGATGAAATGTTTGGAAATGTAAAATAATGCTATCTTTAAAACCCCAGGAAAGGATGAGTTCTTAAATAAAAACAGAACAAGCAATGACTATGAAGGAAAAGTATAATCCAATAGACTACTTTAAAATTAAGAACTTTATGAAGTGGGATGAAATCTCAGTATTGTTTTAATTTGCATCTCTTGAATCACTAGTGATGTTGAACATTTTTCATATATTTATTTGTTGTTTGCATCTGAGAAGTGTCTGTTCAATTCAGGTGTACTTTTTTGGATTGGGCCTCTAAATTTGGGGGAGTCTGATTTGTTTTGAGTTCTTTATATCGTCTAGATATTAGTCCTTTGAGGAACATCTGGCAAAAATGTTTTCCCACCTTGTGAGTTGTCTTTTCATTCTGTTGGTGGTTTATTTTGCCATGCAAATGTTTTTCAGTATGATGAGATCCCAGTTGTTGATTCTTTGTTATATTTCCTGCTGCATTGAGGTTTTGTTCATAAAGTCTTTGCCTGCACCTATGTTTTCAAGTGCTTTATCTTTCAGCAGATTGTTCTTTTAATATTTAGATATTTGATCTATTTCAGTTTTAGTTTAGTGTATGGTGAGAGTTAGGGGTCTAGTTTTATCTTCAGCATGTGAAAAGCTAGTTTTTCCAGCCCCATCTATTAAAGAGACCATCTTTCTTTCAGTGAAGGTGTTTGGCCCCTTTGTCAAAGATAAGGTAGCTGAATGTGCTTGGAGTTGTTTCTGAATCTTTTGTTCCAAAATGATTATTTCCAGAAATTGTCCAATAACAAATCCTGGTGGGGCTATAGACAAAAAGGAGCCCTTCTTCTCTGTTGGTAGGAATGTAAATTAGTACAACCACTATTGAAATCAGTATAGTGACTCCTCAAAAACTAAAATTTGAAATCAGTATAGTGATTCCTCAAAAACTAAAACTAGAGGTTCCATTTGACCTTATTATTCTCCTCCTTTGTATCTTCCCAACCACAGTGATATATACACACCCATGTTTGTAGCAGCACAATTTATGATAGCTAAATCTTGGAAACAGCCTAGATGCCCATCAGTGAATTAATGGATAAAGAAATTCTGGTTTTTATCGACAGTGGAAAACTACTCTTCCATAAAGAAGGATACACTTGAGACATTTTTAGGTAAATGAATGCACCTTGAGATATGTTTAAATATCAGATTGTTTCTCTTGTGTGAGAAACTGAAAGCATAAATAATGACCAAAATGAATAATAGATATTGGGCAACACACAAAAAAATTTAAAAGGAAGGAGAACAAGGGAGGGGGAGAAAGAAAATGAAAGAAAAAATGGAAACAAAGCTTTTGTAAAGGGAAAGGGGAGGGGTTAAAGGGTAGAGAGGCAAATAGAGAAAAAGAATTAAGATATGTACAAATACAAATTCCCTATGATGAATATGATATGTATGACAAATATGTACTAATAAAAATAAATTTTAAAAATGTAGAACTCTATTTCATCAAAGGACATGAGAACAAGAGTGAAAAAAAGAGAAAATATCTAATCAGTAACATCTAAATAGTAACAACAAATAACTAAATTAAGTAAAAGTTCCTATAAGTGCATAAGTAAAATACAATCCATTTAAAAATAAATTGGCTCTAGACATAATATAAAGTATGACTGAAATATTCAGAGAATATTTACTTTTTGAAAAAAATTTACAGTATAAAGCACATTGCCATTAATCTCTTCTAAATATATCCTCCAACATACCTTGCTCCATTGTTCTTGCCACTTTCTAAAGCAGTTCTGGAAAGCAGTGTCTTCAGGAGATGTGATAAAAAATACAGTGAATGCTAAGTGCCACCCAATGAAAGGTAGGGTGGGAGGACATTGCAGTGTTCCTCATCCACCTTATTCACCAGATCTGGTACCATAATTCTGGTTCTTCTCCAAAGCCAAAATGTTCTTGAAAGGTTAAATGTTTTGAATTCGGTCAAGATATCAAAGTGGCTATAACAGTGCATTGAAAGACAGCCACAGAAAAACCCAAAATTCAGACTGCTTCATAAGGTGGGAAGAATAAAGGGATCATTATGTTTGAAGTGAGAGGGAATATTTTGAGGGAGATTAATGGCAATGTGTCTTTTACTGTAATAAATTATTTTGTGAATTTAAACATTCTTCAACCACCCCTCACCTATCCTTCATAAAAGAGAAACTACCAACAGGTAGCAGAAAGAGGATGACTGAGGGAAAAGCAAAGCCATCTCAAATAAATCAAATAAATTTCTGCTCCCAGACCTTGTGTGACTAATCTCTGGGCTACCTCTTAACCATTTTTGGGGAAAAGGAAGGAGCTCATATTTCCTAGCTATATTGCTAATCTCATAATTATCTTCACATTTCTTTGCCCTGTTTACCCCTGATATTCCCTTGGCTTTGGCCAGATCTTGACTTTGAGGTACAGGAAGGGGCAAAGGAGGAAATGTCCCGTGCACAGTTAAGATGAAGTAGGATATCCTTCTACCTTCACTTCTTAATTATGGGCAGGTAAACATATTATAATTGTGCAGCCTTGTGACAATCTGCTTGTTTGCCTTGAGGTTGGAATAAATGAAGAGTATGTAATCCTGGGAAAAATATATAGAACATTTAATTAGTGCTGCTTAAATAGATAATAGAATACTTAATGTGGATAAGTATATTTTAGCATTTAACACTATGTAAAAATACTACAGAATAATGAAACTTCTGGATATATAATTCTCAAATATATTCATTTTTACAAAGGGTAAAATCATTCTCGGGGAAACCAATATTACACTAATAAAAACCTTTTTTTTTTTTGCAGAATTTGAATAATGAGATGAATACAGATGATGACAATGAATATGCAGAAGAAAAAGATAGCTACATATGTGCAGTATGTCTGGATGTTTATTTCAACCCTTACATGTGTTACCCTTGCCACCATATCTTCTGTGAACCCTGCTTACGGACCCTGGCCAAAGACAATCCTGCAAGTACTCCCTGCCCACTGTGTCGGACAATTATTTCTAGAGTCTTTTTCCAGACAGGTAACTTCTTTTTCATTAATGTGATTATCTGATTTTTCTGAATATATCTTTGTTCTAGATCTTTATAAATTATTATGAAAGTTATTAAAAATCATATGAAGTATAATTTGTTATGCTCCAGTTTATAAGGCAGTGATAACCCAACTCATAAAATTGTTTTAGAGGGGAAAAAATGAGAACCAAGACCTGTCATGTAAAGGTACAAGATCCCAATAATGAATGTAACTGTACTGTATATCTAAAATGTACCAATAAACTCAATGAGGAAAAAAAATTGTGTTAGATGCAAAAATGAGAGGAAACCCTTATCTCTAATTCCCTATTTTACATTCAGATCCTCTTTGAAACATCCTAAATAGTTTTCTTCAGTTTTTGTATGGACGTCCTCATTGTCAAGGAAATTTCATATGAAGCCAAACTGTTGATTATTTCTCATCAGTCTTTGACTACTACTCATTTTGTCCCCTTTTTATTTACTCTGGAGTACCAGAGAATAGATCTGTAAATATCTGAGGATAATTATTAAGCTTTTCACCCAAACTCCAAATTGTCTCAATCTTTCTAATGTCATTGAAGTCTTTCTTTTCTTCTTTTTTGTACTCGGGATTAAACTCAAGACCTTGCACTTGCCAGGAAGGCACAGTGCCACTGAGCTAAATCCCAGCCCTGAAATCTTTCTTCTTTAACAAGACAAAGGTAATATTGGAGCAAAGGTTTGTTATATAATTTTCTAGTGAAGTTAGACTTATAACAGATATTTTAAAAATATTTATCATAATATAAAGAATAAGGAATATAAAATAGAGAAATAATATAGTAGAATTATAGCATCCACTACTGTGTGCTAAATATTAGGGGGAAACTTTTCTGGTTCCACATTCTTACCTAAGACACAGGGAAGCCAACTGGAGACCAAAGTATGCATTTTTTTAATAGTAAAACTGAAAAGAATAAATGGCACTGTTTTGTTGTTGAAAAAAAATCCAAGGACCCACCTTCATAGGAGTATCAGATTAAGTAAAGGGTAAGCTCTAGGTATCCCTACCTAACCATCTGCATAAAGGCTTGCAAACCTGCCTTAAAAACTCAGGAATTAAACAGCAAAAGAAAGTAAAGGGATTTTGTGTGATCTGCCTAGTATATGAAAACTTGTGCACAAAATCATTGGACTGAACTTCAGCAGCTGCAAAGACAAAATAATATTCCAAACCCAGTGACTCTACTCAGTACAGGAATGTGGTCAGGACAACAGGCACCAGTCTTACCAGGTTGTTAGCATTTACCCCTCTCATGTGGAGAAACATGAAATGTGTGGAGAGAGGAAATGAAACACTTCTGTGAAAGTTCTCTTCTTCATTAGTATATGTTTGCAATGCATAATAAATACATTCACTGTGGGGAATTGGTACATATCCATCTTGGATATGTTGCTTGGAAGCAACTAGTGGTATGCAAACATATATCTGTCTTCTAGAAATATCATTTAACATGGAGAGGGTTTATATTTCTTTCCATTCAGTTTAGTAATGATTAAAGTCTTTCGTGGTTTATCACAACAATAATTTTGTTTCCCTTTATTTTTAAAAATAGTACGTTTAAAATGACATACTGGTAATATTTATAGTTCTTTCAAGGGAGAATGTATTTCATTGTATATTGTCATTTAGAGGCTGATACAATAATGAGAACATCCTAATTATTTTTACATTACTTCAAAAGGATTTGAGAATCTTATGCATTGTTGCAGAATATTCACACCAGGGAAACTATTTGGTATTTACACGTGTGTCTTATTTATTTCACTTAGGAGTATATCTTCAATATGTATCCATTTTCCTATGAATGAATCTATTCTCTCGCTCTTTATGGCTGAGTAATATTCCATTTTATAGAAAAACCACAACTTCTTTATCCAGTTTCCAACGGATGGGCAAATAGGCTGTTTCCAAGATTTAGCTATTACAAACTGTGCCGCTATAAACATGGGTGCACATACTTCTCTGTGATATGATTCTTTTAGTTCTCTTGGAAAGATACCCAGCAGAGGGATGGCTGGGTCAAATAAGATTACTGACATTTAGAAATTTGAAGAAAGGAGCTAAAGGTGTAGGGAAGGTGTGATGCGTAGGGGAAGAACAAAAAGGGAAAAGAAAAAAATGTGAGAGAATGAAAAGATGAAAATAAAGTGTTTGTAGATGGGGAGGAGAGGAGGGGGTGAAGGGAGGGCAGAGGTAAGGGGAAAAAATGAGAATCAAGACTTGCCATGTAGAGGTACATGATCCCAACAATGAATGTAACTGTACTGTATCCCTAAAATGTACCAATAAACTCAATAAAATTAAAAAAAATTAAAAAAAAAGGATTTGAGATTATTTACAAAATACATTAAATGAAATAGAAAGAATTATGGAATGGAAAATAAAGACAAGATAAGGTTAGGTGGCTAGATACACGAACCATATTGCCCTATATATAACTACAATTAGATAAAATTTGTGTTCAAGAATACCTAAGCCAATATAAAAGTAACTATACAATTAAATGATTTACATGATCCATTAAAAAAAATATACCAGTTCCTCAAGATAAGGAAGATTTTCTGGCACCTCTTAAAAGGAATGTTTTATGGGATTTCTCCCCTAAGGCATATTGAGAGAAGGAATATACAGTACAGTGTTCTCCAAAGCATTCTCAAAGCCATACAATATCAGGTTTCCTGACACTGTTTCTTCTATGTTTTCCATCTTATTGGAGTACAGGTCTTCAAAGTAGGTATTGATGATCCTATAGATTTCTGCTGAATCTGTTGTGAGTTCACCCTGTTCTTTCTTAATTACATGGATTAGAGCCTCTCCTTTCCTTTTTGTGAAAAGTTTGGCTAATGATTTTTCAGAGTTTTATGTTTTTTTGTTTGTGTTTTTGTTTGTTTTTTTGCTTGCAGAGACATTAAGCTGTGGTTTTGATTTCTTTCTTTTTGAAACAGGGTCTCCTATGTAGCCAGTTGGCTAAGGTTTTGTCTATTTTATTTATTTTATAGAACCAACACTTTGACTTTTTTTTGTATCATTCTCTTAGTCTTCATTTGCACTGATTTCTCCTCTAATCTTCATAATTTCCTTCCTGGTATGAGCTTTGGGATTTTCTTGCTCTTCTTTTTCAGTTAGCTTGAGGTTCAGCATTAGGTTGTTTATTTGAGCTCACTCAGTTTTCCTAGTATGGGCATTCACTGCTATGAATTTCCCTCATAGAACTGTTCTCTTTGTGTCCCATAGACTCTTGTATGGAGTATTGGCATTATCACTTAATTATAAAAACTGTCTAGTTTCTTCTTTAATTTCCTGTGTGATCCATTGGTTGTTTAAGAGAGTGTTATTCAATTTCCATGTGTTTGTGAAGTTCTTGTGGTTTCTTAATGCTATTGATATCCAATTTAATTGCAATGTGGTCTGATAATATAAAGGATATGATTTCAATTCCATTGCATTTACTTAAACATGTTCTATGAACTAGCATGTCGTCTATTTTAGAGAATGACCTGTGTGAAGCTGAAAAGAATGTGTATTTTGATTTTGTGGAGTGAATACTCTGTAGACATCTACTAAGTCCATTAGTTCAAAAGTGGTTCAGTTCTAGTATTTCATTGTTGATTTTTTTTTGTCTAGATAACCTATATGTGACAGTAGGTATTTACAATTATATTAGTGCTTATTTGGTTTTTCATGTCCATTAATATTTGTTATATATAGTGTGATGCACTAGTACTTGGTGCATATATATTTATCTTTTTTGGAGGGGGTGCTGACATTGAACTCAGGTCCTTGCCCTTGTGAGGCAGGCGAAGGCACCACTGAAATAAATTCCTGGCCCCTGCTTCATGTATATTTATGATTGTCATCTCTTCCTCTTGAATTGTTACATTGACAAGGATGTAGTGACTTTCTTTGTCTCTCTTAATTAGTTTTGGTTTGAAATCTACTTTGTCTGCAAATAAGATAGCTACCTTGCTTTTTTTTTACAGGTTCTTATCTCATGGAGAATTGTTTTCCATCCTTTTACTTTCAGTCTATGAATTTATTTTTGAATTGTTTTTTGAATATAGCATATTGTTAGATTTTGTTTCTTAATCCATTCTGCCAGTCTAAATATTTTGATTGGTGATTGAGGTCATTAACATTGATGATTATTATTGATATGTATTGACTTATCCTTGTCATGATATTTTCCTGTTGTTGGATCTTTATTTTTTTTTTATTTTCCCCCATTTGCCTTTAATTTCTTATCTTGCCTTATTGCTTTGCTCTGTTGGGCCTCACAGAGTTGTGACCCTCATTGTCTTTTTCTAGGATATTTTTTAGAATTGTTTGGAATGCTAGTTTGGTATTCATGAAGTTTCTCAGGTGTTCTTTGTCATGTAAGTATCTTATTTCCCCATCAGTTTTGAAAGATAGTTTTGCAAAATACATCAATCTATGTTGGACGTTGTTTTCTCTTAGAACTTGAAATACCTCACTCCATGTTCTCCTTGATTTGAGGGTTTGTGTTGAAAAGTCTGCTGTGATTCTGATGGTCTTTCCTTTGTATGTGATTTGTTTCTTTTCTCTAATCACTTGTAGAATTTTATTCTTCTGTTGGGTTTCTGGGATCTTTACTATTATATATCTAGGTGTAGATTTTTTTTTTATCATGGCTAGTTGGAGCCCTATATGCTGATCTTTATGTCAGTTCTTTTCCTCAGCTTGGAAAGTTTTCTGTCATTACTTCTGTGAATAGTTTATGTCATTTGTACATTTTCTTGGACTCCTATCAGTCTTGTTATTCTTCTTTGCATCATCTAGCATCTGCTGGATGGATTTCTTATGGTCCCTCACTATTTTTAAGAAATCTCTCTATTCATGGTCACTAATTGCAATCCTATCTTCTATATGTGATATTATGCCTTCACATTGGCTCATTCTGCTGTGAATATTTTAAGTGGTTGTTTTTAATCTGGATATCTCTTTGATTCTGTTTCATAGAGTCCATTTCTTTCCTGTTTTGGGCAGTTGTGGTTTTGATTTCTTTCCTATGCTTGGAATTCATGGCTTCTATCATGGTCCTGAGCTCATGTATTTTTTTATCTCTTTCTGTTCTAGAGTCTCTCATCATGTCATTCATTCTCCTCACTATCTCTGTAGTTATCTGCGAAATCATTTCTGTTTTGAATTTTTATAGAGCCTCATTTATCTGTTTTGTTACTTCCTGTGCTATAAATTCAGGGTGTCCCCGGTGGTTGAGCATCAGACTTTTCCACCTCATTTCCCCCAGAATTTGCCTTTGGTTAGCTAGAAGTCTGTGTTTGTTCTTGAGCCTTGTTTGAATGTCTTTCCATTTCTATTTTTACTGTTGGTGCTGCCCTTCATTTGATATCTGGGTTAGTATTTTGATCTTCCCGTTATAGCTTATCTTTAGGTTTTGAGTCTCTAGTGACTCTCAGGCAATCTGTTTTTCATTATACTAGGAAGGACAACTGATTAGATCAATCACAGCATCTTTGCCCAAGTGATACAATCAGCAACAGAAAAGCCTCAAGCACAGCTTAGAAAATGACAATTTATTGTAGTTATTAATCTATCACCTTTAACTGTGTTAAGTAAATCAAAATGGAGTTTAGAGCTCAAGACAATGGCCCTTATGACCCTCCTGTACTTCTGTGGTGTGTATCCAGGCACCAGCACAGCCAGGAGGCCAGATGTGTGTGGGGGTGGTAGCTGTGGAGGACCTGCTGGAACCAACATGGCTTTACCTCTTACCAGTCTGCTGTCAGATGGGGCAGCTGGGACATGAGCTGCAGGCCAGCTCCAGGAAGTTCCACCTCTTACTGGTCTCCTGCTCTACCTCTTACCAGTCTGCTGTCAGATGGGGCAGCTGGGGCATGAGCTGCAGGCCAGCTCCAGGCAGTTCTGCCTCTTACTGATCTGATTCCTAGGTCAGGCAGCTGGCATATGAGCTGCAGGCCAGCTCTTGGTAGTTCCACCTCTTACTGTTCAGCTGCTGAGGATGGGTGGCAAGGCCACCAGCTGCAGTTCAGCTCTCTATATTCACATTTACATCTTTGATCCATTTTTATTTTAATTTAGTACATGGTAAGACGTATAGGCCTAGAATCAGTCTTCTGCACATGGTTATCCCGTTCTCCCAGCACCATTTGTTGAATGAGCTATCTATCCCATGTGCATGTTTTGTCCCTTTGTGGAAGATAGCTGAATGTGTCTTGGGATGTTTCTGTATTTTCTATTTTGTTCCAGCAATCTAAGTGTCTGTTTTTGTGCCAATAGCATGCTGCTTTTATTATCATTCCTCTGTAGTTTGCATATTTCCATATCTTAGTTTTCAGTTTTCTCAAAAGCTAAAACTATATTTTAAGTCAGATGTTGTGATGCCTCCTGGTATTCTGGTTCCATTTGAATTTTGAGATTGTCTTCTCTATTCTGTAAGGAATGCTGTTACTATTTTGACTGGGACTGCAGTGAATCTGTATATCAGTTTTAGGGATATGGCCATTTTAAGAGTATTGCTTCTGCATATCCAGGAGTAGGAGACATCTTTCCATTTTCTGATGTCTTCTTCAATCTCCTTTTTCAGAGCACTATAATTTTCCTTGTTGAGGTCTTTCACTTCCTTGGTTACATTACTTCCTAGATACTTTCTTCATGCTATTGTGAATGGTATTATTTTAATTTTTTCTCATTTAATTCATTATTAGTATACATGAATGCTATTGAGTTTTCTGTGTTAATATCCTGCTACATTTATGAAATTTATTCTCAGATTTTTTTGTTGGAATTGTTTGGGTCATGTTTATTAGCATGTCATCTGCATATAATGATAATTTGACTTGTTCTTTTCCTATATATAAAACTTTTATTTCTTTCTCTTTCCTGATTGCTCTGGCTAATGTTTTAATTACTGTGTTGAAAATAAGTGGTGACAGTAGGCATGCTTGTCTTATTCTTGATTTTAGAGGGAAAGCTCATGGGCAAGTAAAATGAATAGACACTTCTCAGAAGTACAAATAGGCAACAAACGTGAAAAATATACAACATCTGTGTCCATTAGAGAAATGCAAATTAAAATAACACTGAGATTTCATTTTAAGCCAAAAACTATGGTAATCATCAAGATATGACATGTTTAATTTGCTGGTATGGCTACAGTGAAATAAACATGCTACATTTTTTGTGGAAATGTAAACTAGTACAATGATTATGGACATCAGTATGGAGATTTCTCAAAGAACTAAAATTAGAAATTCCATTTGACCTACTTATACACCTTTAAATATCTTCCCAACGGAGCTAAAGATACCATATTTCTGTAATACTTATATGCTAATGTTTATAGCAACACAATTCATAATACATAAGTCTTTAAAGCAGCCTATATGCCCATCAACAGACAAATGGATAAAGAAAATGTGGTATCTATACATAATCGTACTCAGATATAAAGTTAGATGAATTTAAGACATTTGTAGGAAAATGGCTACACCTGAAAAATTTTAAGTGTAACAAATCAGATACACAAGCTTAAATCCCATATGTTATTACTCAATTGAGTAAGACAAAGTACAAATAAAGAGCAAAATAAAGGATGAATAAAAAGAAACAGGGTGATAGATCTTTTGCAAATGAGAAGGGGTCCAGAAGACTCAAGTGTGAGGAAAAGAGAGGGAAAGGGAAGTAAAAAGATTTAAGATGTAAAATGCACATGTACCAAATATTTACAGTGAATGTAAACATTATATGTCATAAACATTAACTAAAAAGAATGAATGAATGTGGGGAATGGGATTTAGAGATAGATGGTGGTAGGTAGGGAGAGGAAGGGAATTAAAAATAATCAAGTAGTGTTATATATATGCACCTACTCTCTAACATGAATGTAAACTTCTTGTACTGCAAACTTTACTAAGAGAAAAAAAAAATAGCTGGGCATGGTGGCACATGCCTGTAATCCCAGCACTTGGGAGGCTGAGGCAGGAGGATCACTGTGCGTTTGAGACCAGCCTGGGCTACACAGTCAATTCCAGGTCAGTCTCAACTATATAGTAAGACCCTGTCTCAAAAAACTAAAGAGAGAGAGAGAGAGAGAAATGAATTGAATCCTACATAGTTAGAAACTTTTCTTTTGCTTTACTCTAGAACTGAACAATGCCACAAAGACATTCTTTACTAAAGAATATTTGAAAATAAAGCAAAGCTTTCAGAAATCCAGCTCTGCAAAATGGCCCCTACCAAGCTGCAGAAAAGCCTTCCATCTTTTTGGAGGTAAGGAAACTAATAGAGAAAGAAAAAGTCTGGTAACTTTTGTCCAAGTCTGCTCTTGTAGCTAAATTTTCTTCTCTTAGGAATATTGGTGGAAGTATATTAGTGTTGATCAATTTTAAGTAAAGATTTTGTTAATTACTTGCTGAAAGATATAAGGATACATATAAAGAAAATGAAAACTATACATTAAAAGCAAATTTGAAGTTAATTGACTTTGCCTGGGGAGAGTATTGGAGTGGTGGGGATGGGAAAACATATACACATGTATAGAGCCATTAATATGATACCTGTGTAGTATTTATAATTTTTATATTTTTATGTGTTTGTTAAAAATAAATTTAATAATGAAAATAGACTTTGCCTTGCCACCAATGTTTAATATATAGATAATAAAAATACATTCCCAGAGTATCACATGAATATTACAGAGCTTGCTGGAGCAGGTATCACATAGATATCCAGTGAACTCCAATTTCTGGGTTCAAGTCCACATGGTTATGACTTCAGTGATGTCGTAAAAGCCTCTTTATTGGCTTATTTTAGATCCATAAAATGACAATACTTCTGTCTACCCCTAAAGATCAAATAAACTAATGTGGAAGCACATTATAAATTATAACTAATTGAACTCTATGAGTATAAAGGATTATCAAAATAAGGGCAAGACAGTCTCTAATATCTTTTTCATCTGAGTGTTACTGTATGATGAAATAATATGAATATAAAATATAATTTTTTACTAATAAAATGATGGTAGACTGTGAACTACTGTGCTGTTTTAGTATGTGCCACTAATGTAGTGGATTCTGATAGGAAAAGTGAAGTTATGGGAGCCATGATCTTTGGAGAATAGGAGTAACATCTACATAAGGAAACCAACAAGATTGATACAGTAGGGTCAAAAACAAAAGCAGACAGGAGCAGAACCTGTGTAACTGAAGAAAAAGGGAATTGACATATAAAATGTCTTAAGCTTGAAGGAAGTAGTTTAAGGACATTTTATGAACATGCTTCTTTATAATAAACTAAATGTTTCTTATCTGGCTATTTGGTATAGATAGGTTTAAAATATATCACATTTAACCAAATATATAATAAAATCACCTTAAATAATTTCATAACAAAAAGATGAAAATTTGTAATTAGTAATTGCTTATGTCCTGTAAAAGGTTATCTTGTCTCCTACCTTTCGCTCTACATCCAAATATTTTAAAAGATCAAGCACCTTTTCTTTATAATAACCCCATACTTCCTTCTGTATTCTAAGATCGCACTGAAGTAATTTGTGACTTTATGACAACTCTTGATGAATTGTAGGTTTTCATTTCTTTCATTTTCATTATTTTTCTGGAAGATATTGTCTTATTTAAGAAATTCTTCTCTATTCCTAGGGTCGCAGATATTTTCCAATGAATTTTCCAAATAGTGGAAAAGGTCTTTGAAATTGATTATATTTATTTTATGGGGTGTTTACTTTGTTGCATCCAATTTCTTTGAGAAAACCATGTGATCATCTTAATAAATGCAAAAAAGTGCTTGACAAGATACAACATGCATTCATTATAAAAACCCTACAAAAAATTGGAATATATGGTCTCTAACTCAACCTAATAAAAGCCACCTAAGAAAAAATCCATCACCAATATCATACTAAATGGTCAAAAACAGAAATCCTTCACACTAAAGTCAGGAACAGAACAAAAATGTCCACTATCATCACTCCTCTTCAATATAGTTTTGGAAACATTAGCCACAGCAATTAGACAAGAGAAAGAAACAAAAGGAATAAAGATAGAAAATGAAGAAGTCAAATTGTCATTATTTTCAGATGACATGATACTCTATATAGAAAACCCCAAGAATTCAACCAAATACCTTGTTGACTTAATAACCAAATTCAGTAGCTGAATACAAGATCAACACACAAAAATCAATAGCTTTCCCATATACAAACAATAGACTCACTGAAAAAGGAACTGGAGAAACAACTTCCTTCACAACAGCATCCCCCAAAAATGAAATATTTAGGAAGCAACTTAATGAAAGAAAACAAAGTCCTCCACTCTGAAAATTATAACACCCTGAAAAAAGTGATTGAAGATATCAGAAAATGGAAAGACATCCCTTGCTCCTGGGTAAGAAGAACCAATATAGTGAAAATGGTCATACTTCCAAAACTTCTATATAGATTCAGTGCAGTCCTAAATGAAATTCCAACAGCATACCTCACAGACCTTGAGAAAACAATTCAATAATTAACTTGGAATAAGAAGAGACCTAAAATAGCAAAAGGAATTCCATGCAACAAAGACAAGGTAGAGGATATCACAATCCCCAACTTCAAACTATCCAACAAAGCAACTTTGTTAAAAAAAAAACCAAAAAAACAAAACAGCATGGTGCTGGCAAATAAACACACCCAAAAACCAGTGGAACAAATTGGAAGAGGCAGAAACAACTCCTGAATCACTCAGCTACTTCATCTTTGACAAAGGAGCCAAAAACCCTCACTGGAGGAAAGATAACCACTTGACTAAATGGTGCTGCAAAAATTTGGTATCAATTTGTGAAACATTAAAACTACACCTATATCTCTCACCATGCTCTAAACTAAAATAGAAATGGATTAAGATCTAAATATTAAAACAATGCTGGGCATGGTGGCACATGCCTGTAATCCCAGCACTTGGGAGGCTGAGGCAGGAGGATCACTGTGAGTTCAAGACCAGCCTGGGCTACATAGTGAGTTCCAGGTCAGTCTCAACTACATAGTGAGACTGACCCTGTCTCAAAAAATCAAAAATAAAATAAAATAAATATTAAAACAAAAACACTAAGCCAGCTGGAAGAGAGGTCAGATAGAACTCTTGAAGACTGGCATAGGAAAAGATTTCATGAACAAAACATCAGTTGCATGTGAACTAGCACAAAGAATCAGTAAGCTGGATATCTTCTTTGTAAAAAGCTTCTGTACAGAAAGAGAGACGATCAACAGCATGAAGAGAATCCACAATGTGCAAAAACACTTTTACCAACTATTCCTCAGAGAAAGGTCTACTATCTAGAATAAAGAACTTAAAAAAAATCAGACCTCCAAAATTTAAAAATCCAATTCAAAAATGGGCACCTGAAATGGACACTTCTTAGACAAAGAAGTAGAAATAAAAAATAAACATATGAAATATGTTCAACATCACTGGTCATTGGAGAGATGCTATACTGAGATTCCACCTCACCCCAGAAAGAATGGCTGCTATCATGAAATCAACCAATAACAAATGCTGGAGGGGATGTCGGGAAAAAGGAACCCTTCTCCACTGTTGGTGAGACTGTAGACTGGTGCAATCACTGTGGAAATCAGTATGGAGATACCTCACAGAACTAGGATTAGAGGTCCCATCTGACTCACCTGTTCCCCTTCTGGGTATCTTCCTAAAAGAATCATACAACAGTGATATATGTGCACCATGTTCATAATGGCACAGCTCAATCATGGAAACAGCCCAGTTGTCCATCAACTGGAGAAGATAAAGAAAATGGGGGATTTTTTAAAAGGATAATGGAGTACTACTCAGCCATAAAGAATGAGAAACTAGAGACATTTATAGCTAAATGGGTGCATACTGAGGTGATACTCTTAAATTAAATAAATAGGACACACATGTAGGATACACATGGTATGAGAAACTGAAAATGTAAATAAGGATCAAAATTATAATACATAATGTGAAATAGGAAGAAAAGATGCTAAGGGGAGGGGGAAGTGGAAGGTGTATGTGAAAGGAAAGAAGGGAATGGAATTAACATGAGAAATGAAAACAAAGGTTTTGTAAATAGGGGTGAAGGGTTTGAAGAGAGGGTAGGAGAATGGGGAAAAAAATCAAGATATATTATGTAAATTACAAATCTCCAATGATTAATGTCATTACATTGTATACCTAAAATGTACCAATAAAAATATTTTTAAATCTTGCTAAAAAAAATAAAATTGCCAGTTTATGTTGTTGATTTTTTTCTAAATATACTCATGAAAGAAGTGAAAAAAGAAAGGATTTAAAATTTCATGTCCTAATTTTGCTGGCTATAACAAAAACATGCAGCTGAAATTCAGATGCCTGAGAGATATATAGATATATATACAAACAACAGATCCATCCATTGCTCAAGAAAGCCTGAGATATTGTTTTTTTTGTTCATTAATTTTTTCTGAACATGTTAGATTGATTCTACAAGTTTAAACATGTTCAATAGAAATAACAGAGTATCCACATTGAAACAAACACTTGTCTCTATGAGGAAACAAAATAGTATACAGTCAAATGGCAGGAGTTTGAATGTAGCCCAGAAATGTACCTTCAGAATGTTGGAAATAAGTCCAAGGAATTTTTAAAAGTGCTATAGACTCAGTGCTGCCTTTTAGCAGAACATAAATTAGCCTTTAGCGTTTTGCTGAAATTGCAACAATTTTGGTCACAAGATGTTTTTTGAAAGGGCCTAGGAGTTCTGATGTGTCTTTTTCTTTTGACAGAATAGGTTTCTGCTTTTGCTGTAAGATTTACTTATAAGTTTGAATGTTATTTTAGAAGCCAAACTTGTAACAACAGTCACACTCAGAAGTCTTCTAAATTCTGCTCATCACATGTAATGACAGGGAGTTCACCATCTTGAAAGTTACCTGTCTGTTTTGACAGCTTTATTGGACAATTAGAAACAATTTCCTTTTATTGGTTCAATTCTGTTTTAGTCTAATCTTCCTCCACATGACTGTTCTTCAAGTATAGAAAGACACATATAACAAACCCTGTAAGTCTTTACATACTATCTGTATCCCTTTTGTTATTCCTCATGGACTTCATGATCCTGTGCTGGTTGCCAGTTTCAGAAATGCAAAGCAGATAGAAATTCTCTTGGTTCCATACACATAAAATAAACTGTTTTTGTAATGCCTGGAAATGGTAGATACTTTCAGGGAAAGAACAATGACTGACAGAGTCATTATT